TGGTGATTTTGATCTCAACAACGCTCCTCGGTCAGGGAGGCCCACTGAGGTTGTTGACGACAAAATAAAGGCATTAATCGAATCAAATCCATGTTACACGACACGAGAGATTGCAGAAACATTGAACATCCATCGTTCAAGCATTCATGACCACCTGAAGAAGCTGGGATATGTAAGCAAGCTCGATATTTGGGTTCTGCATGAACTCAAAGAAGTTCATTTGACAGCGTATATAAACATCTGCAGTATGCTCATTAAACATGAGGAAAATGATCCTTTCTTGAAGCAACTGATAACTGGTGATGAGAAGTGGATTGTTTACAACAATGTGGTGCGCAAACGGTCTTGGTCCCAACGTGATGATTCACCTCAAACAACATCAAAAGCAGACATTCATCAGAGGAAGGTTATGCTCTCAGTGTGGTGGGATTTTAAAGGTGTTGTGTTTTTTGAGCTCCTACCAAGGAACCAAACAATCAATTCAAATGTGTACTGTCAGTAATTGGACAGTTTGAATGAATCCATCCTTCAGAAATGTCAGAGCTTGTTAATTGTAAAGGAGTTGTGTTTCATCGTGGCAACGTGAGACCACACACGTTTGATCACCCGTCAGAAATTATTGGAGCTTGGATGGGATATGTTGCCACATCCACCATACTCGCCTGACCTTGTGCTGTCAGACTTCCACTTGTTTCGCTGTCTTCAAAACTCCTTGCGTGGTATAACGCTCAATTCAGATGAGGCTGTAAATCAGCACCTTGTTCAGTTTTTTTGTAAATAAAGACAGGTCCTTCTATGAACAAGGAATTTTGAAGCTCACTGAAAGATGGCAAAATCGAACAAAACAGGCAATATATCATTGATTGATCTTCGTTCTTTATATAAATAAATGACCTTTGAAAAACATAGACGAAATACGTCATGACTTTTTGACAACCCAATAGTTTCAGGCATACAGCATAGTGGTTAGACTTTATATAATTTATGAAGTAATCCCCCAATTAGTCTAGTACCCACCTGACACTATACATAGTTATTACAATACTGGATTACAATACTGGACTTATCGGTGGAATCACTTCATAGACTGTGTAGATGCCTGATCCCTGCACTACATACCTGAAGCTGAGGTAGAATAATAATAAATGTCAACTAAAATATATATAGTCACGGGATGTAAAGTACAGCATAGGGAATATAGTCAATGGTATTATAACAGCTATATACAATGTCAGAGTGGTAGTAGATTTGTTGGCATTATCACTTTGTGAGGCATGTAAATGTCTAATTATTATATTGTTTTGTATACCTGAATCTAAAAAAAAAGCCAAAATGAATAATTTAGAAAAATAAGATATTATAGACTGTAATAGGTTTTCAGTTTGGCTCACTAAACAAGACCTATATGTGTGCTGTATGCAAGAGACATACCTAAAACAGTGATTCACAAAGACTAAAAATCAAGGGATACACAATGATACCAATGCTGATATCAGACAAAGTAGAATTCAAGCCCAAAATCATTAAGCATGACAAAGGGCACTTTTTAATGTCAAAAGCCACAATTCACAATGATGATATAGCACATGTAAAAATATTTGCACCAAATAACACAGCAATAATCTTTATGAAGCGAAAACTGTAAGAGATGCAAAGACTTATAGAAATAAACTAACAGTAAGAGAAACCATACCGAACACATTTATCAGTAAAAAAGTAAAAGAATGATAAAATTAAATCCACTGTTCAAAAAAACACAAGAATAACAATAGAGTGACCCAAAATAAAGCACAAGGAAGGAAATAATAAAGATAAAAGCAGAAATTAATGAAGTAGAAACAGTATCTCTAATTAATAAAATCTGAGGTTTTGTGTTTTTTTTAATTAAAATGAACAAATCACCAGATGAGCAAGAAAAACGGGAGAACACACAAATAACAAAATAAGAACTGACACATGGGAAATAGTCATTGAAGCAGAACAAATTTGTACAAGTCATGAGACTACTTTGCAGTTCTCTTTGCATATAAATTTGAAAACTAAATGAAATGAATATTTTCCTAGGGAAATATAGATTGCCAAAATTGACCCCATTTGATTTGGAAAGCTTAAATAGGCCAGTTTCCATAGAATAAATAGACAAATTTATTGAGGAACTACCCCACAAAAAAAGACCAGGCCCAGATGGTTTCACTAAGAAATTCTTCCAAACTCTCAAGGTCCAGAGAGTCCCAGTGCTCCATAAACTATTCCAGAGTATTGAAGGGGAAGAGAAACTTCCTGACTCCTTACATGAAGCATGTATACTATTGATATCTAAACCAGATAAAGACAATACAAAGAAAGAAAACTACAGACCAATATCACTCATGCATATTGATATAAAAATAGTAAACAAAATAGTAGCAAAAGGAATCCAAAATCACATTAAGAAAATAGTGTACCATGACCAAGTAAAATTTATTCCAGGAATAATGCAGTGTTGGTTTAATGCTAGGAAATCCATTAATGTCATATACCATATTAATAGATATAACAAAAAAAAATCAGAAGGTTGTCTCTATAGATGCTGAAAAAGACGTTGATACAATTTAACACCCATTCATGATTTTTAAAAATTAAGAAAGTCGAAATTTAGGGGTGTTATTTTATTTTTCAGCTTTATTAAGGTATAATTGACAAAATTGTAAGATATTTAAAGTGTACATCACCTCACATATTTGTTTTTGGGGGATAGTGTGAACATTTAAGTTCTCTCTTAACAAATTTCAGTTATACAATACAGTGGTATCAATTATAGTTACCATGTTATACATTAGATCCTCAGACCTTGATCATCTTACAGATGACAATTTGTACCCTTTTACCACCCTCTCTCTATTTCCTCCACCCCCTAGCCCCTGGCAACTATTTTTCTACTTTCTGTTTCTATAAGTTTGATTTTTTTTTTCTTTAGATTCCACATATAAGTGACAGTACTATGCAGTACGTCTTTGTCTGGCTTATCCCACTTAGCATAATGCCCTCAAGTCCATCCATGTTGTTGAAAATGGCAGGATTTCCTGCTTTCTCATGGCTGAATAATATTCAGTTGCACATACATGTATTGTCTTTATCCATTCATCCGTTGATGAACACGTCCATTGTTTTCATGTCTTGGCTATTACGAATAATTATTTTTACTAACTATTGCGAATAGTTATTTAAATTATAGCTGTGTATATGTATAAACGTTGAAAAAGGAAGTATCCTACCTATCATGTTAAGAAAGCAGGGGATACTCATTTGTGCAAAAGAAATATAAAAAGAATAAACTAGAAACTAAAGAGAATGGTTACAGGGAGTAGAAAAGGGATAGAAAGAAGGGAGGAATTAGGAATGAGGTATAAGGATGAGAAGGAAGCAACAGTTCTTTTTTTTTTTTATTAGCTCTGAAGCTTAGAACCAGGGTAATGTTTCAAATACCACCCAAAAGAAGTCAAGTTAATCTTTATGGGTGGGAACCATAGGGACTACAAACAGTAGCAGAGAAATTTGACTGTATTACAAATGAATAATGTAATCACACCTCAGGGAATGGGGAAGAAAAGAACCTAAGTAAATTTCAGGGAAACAGTATTTTGGCTGGATATTATAAGGCTAAAAACAAAAATAAGTGTACTGTACAGTTGAATGAGGGGTGAACTCCACCCAGCTTTCTCTCTCTCCTTCCCCTCCAGGCCCTGGCCTGGCCTTCATCGCCTACCCGAAGGCTGTCACCATGATGCCTCTCTCCCCGCTGTGGGCCACCTTGTTCTTCATGATGCTCATCTTCCTGGGCCTGGACAGCCAGGTAAGAGACTGGAGGAAGTGGGGGAGCCCAGGCTGGAGGGCAGGGAGGCCAGATGCTGCTCTTCAGAGTGGCTCTGCGGTCTAGCTGCCACCTCCTGTCCCCAGTCATCAACACCCTGTCCACTGTCCCCACCCTGCTTTCCTGCCAGGCACACCCTCCCCTCCCCAGGTGGTCTCCACAATCACTCCCAAACGCTGCCCTGGTCCCTCCAGGCCTTCCCAAACACAGTTTTCTTTACCTGGAACTCCCAATTCAAGTTTTCAAGTTTTTAAAACACTGCTACATCCTTTCATTCTGGTAAATTATTGCTGCCCAGCAGCACCCCCTGGCAGAGAGTGGGCTACGGTTAGTGGTATCTGAGGACCCCACCAGCCTGTGTCCCTGTCTCAACCAAACCCTGAAAGACACACAGACATAGAAAAGCACCTTTTTCGTTTTGTTTTCTTTGTTTGTTTTTTTTTAGCTGAGCCATCCTGCTACCTGTTGGCAGCTCAGCGGCTGCTCAGCTCAGGCTGGACTCGAACTGCTGTTGCTCAGAGCTCAAGCTCTTGAGCGAGCTCTTAACCAACTGAGCCACTTGGCCGGCCTGAAAAGCACCTTTTTCTTTCTTCCTCCATCTCTGTGTTGGGGCCACCCTGACATGCCCCAGGCGACCACAGGGGTTCTCAGTACCAGCACCACCTCCTGCTCCCGCTGTATCCCGCCGCCCACCTGCTCCTGTTCTCAGTGGCCTGTAGGGCCCTCTCAGACCCACCCTCCACTTGGCAGCCTGCCTTCCTCAGTGAAGGATGTATAGTTAGAAGTAGCATTTACCCTTTATCTACATGAATGCATGCACTTACATCCTTTCACACTGTAAAACTCACCCCAACCTGCCCTCTCAATCCTCTCCCTGGTTTTTCAGCCAGAATCTCATGGCCTCCAGTCACTCTTCACTCCCAGAAACGCGCCCTGTGCCCTGCTGCTCCGTCGCAGCTGGTTCCCCTAAGAGCCCCAGAGAATGTCCCCCAGCCAAAGCCCGTGACTCTGCTCTCAGACTGGGGTCTATTGGCAAGGTGCTGCCCCACACCCGTGACCTTGTATGGGTCACTTAGCACCAAGCCCCACAGCCAATGTGCCTGTCAATCCAGCCAAGTCCAATTTCTTCCCCTGAATGGTTCCTCAGAAACTGCTAAGCAGAGCTGCTGGAGCACCGGGTGTTTCTGCTGATAATCTTCCCCTCCATTGTCACGCATAATCTTCCTTTCCATTGTGGCTGATAATCTTCCTTTCCTTTGTTGTGATGGAGGCCTCAGGAGGTGTCTCCACTTGTGTGTGACAGTGACAGTCTGGCCTGGGCAGAGGGAGGTGGGAAATGGGGCCTCAGCTCTGCAAGTCTCTGGGCTGAACCGGGCCAGCATTTGGGCTGAGATACTCTGTTTGCAAGGGGAGGTCAGGGGGTTTGGCATGGAGGGTAACGGCTGCTCTGCTTACCCCCATGCTTGCTTTGTGCCTGGACTACATCCCCAGCTCTTTGTCACAATAACCACACAGGCTGGGGGCCCTTTTTGTTACCCTCATTTTGCAGATGAAGAAACTGAGGCTCAGAGATGCTGAGTAACTGGCAGGGACCTCCACTCAGGTCTGTGTGCCTCTAACTCCACATGCTCTGATGTCTCTTTAGGGTCTATCCTTGATGAGCACAGCCAGCCTTGCCGAAGGGGCAGGGCAGCCTGGCGTCCAGGAGCCTGGCTTTGGAGTCAGGTAGACCCAGCCCCATGACTTTGGCCAGCTGTGTGACTCTGGGCTGGTCACTTCCCCTCTCTGTGCTATAGTCCCATTGCACAATGAGGAGGGAAATACCTTTCCTGAGGAAGTAGAATAAGTCAGAAAGGATTCGGGGCCAATAAATGGCCCCAGGGACAGGAAGTGCCCCACATGGTGACCAGCTAAAGATTCCTTTACTCTTCCCTCTCAGCAATGCAGCAAGGTGGTTAAAGCCCAGCCCCTAGAACAAGCTCGCCCGGTTCAAGTCCGGGCTCTCTCTCTCAATGCCTCTGTGGCCTTGGCAAGTTGCTTGTACCCCTATGCTTCCGTGTCTTCAATTACAAAGCAGGGATAATAGTAGTACTTATCACATAGGGATTAAGTAAATTGATATCTATTAACTGCTTCAAACAGCCTGTATGTTTGCCATTATTATTATCATTACTAATCAAACATTTTTTGAGGGTCTCCTCTGTGCCACTGGAAATGAGTGTAAGGAGATAGATACAAGCCCGCAGGAGCCCCGCGGGGTGAGAGATGTGGCCTGGTCTGAGGAGAGGGAAGGCCTGCTCTGCCCGAGTGGGGGCAGAGAGGAGGGTCAAGAAAAGGTGAATACAGGAGGAGCCCGGGGAAGGATGAGTAGTGTGCTGGGATATTTGGGCTGGGCGGGTGCAAATAGAATGGATGGATACTGCGTGCCTGGCCCTGTCTCAAGCACGGCGGGGTCCACATGCTTAGTACCTTCAGCTCTGCCATCTGAGCCTGCACAGGCTGCCTGGGCCCAGAGACTCATGCAGTGGAAACACAGGAACTAGGTGCTGGCTCACCTCTGCTTGCCTCCACCCAGCAGAGCAAAGGGCACCAGAAGCAAAGGGTGGGGGTCTGCCACAGTCCTGGAAAAGGAGCAAGTCAAGTTTTGGCCATGGGATTGACCAGAGCCTGCCGCCCACAGAGTGCTCAGCACTCAGGACTCCTGTCTGGCCTCCCAGGCAGGGGCTACATCTCATTTAAGTCGTTGACCCCAGAACAGGGCCCAGCACATAGGCTTGTGACTGGCAGCATGGGGGAGAAGGAGTACGAGCTTTAGAGTCAAGAGACCCCCGTTCAGATCCTGACTCAGCCACTTCTTTGCTGAGTGACCGCGGGCAGTTTGCTTCCCCTCTCTGAGCCTCAGTCTTCTCATCTGTTGAATGGGCATGCTGGAGCTTTGTAAGGGCTGGTATCATTGCTGTTACACCTGGGCCCTCCATCAGAATGAGTGAGTGAGTGAGTGAATGAAGGGAAGCCCAGTGAGAAGGAAGCCCAGGGTGTAGGCCTGCTGTGCTCGCCGGAGCCGGGACCACTAAGATGGCCTTTTCTTGGGCTTCACACCATCATATCTCCCCTGTGCAGTTTGTGTGTGTGGAAAGCCTCGTGACCGCCGTGGTGGACATGTACCCCAAGGTCTTCCGGAGGGGCTATCGGCGGGAGCTGCTCATCCTGGCCCTGTCCATCATCTCCTATTTTCTGGGCCTTGTGATGTTAACCGAGGTGAGTGACGTGCACCGAGTGAGCGGTGTGAACAGCACAGCACGAGCGTGAAGCGCCTGGGCATTGGGCTAGGCAGGGCCGATGTCATATCCCAGCTCTGAAATGGACTCGCTGTGTGACCTTGGCCACACCTGGCACCTTCTCTGTGACTCAGCTCTTTCATCTTCCTAATGGGGTGTTGTGAGAATCACGTGCAAGTTCTCATTAAGCCCTTAGCACAGTGTCTTGCATGCGTAAGTGCTCAGCTAGAGGTTGCTGCTGTCGTTACCAGAGAGGAATAAAGCTCACGGAGGGAAATGCTGGGTTTATGTGGTATTCTGGGTGCCCGGGCCACCCCTAACACTCACTTCAGGGTGGAGGGAACAGTGTCCGCTACTGGCACCTCCTAGTTACTTTCATTGGCCTAAGGTTTAGAGTGGGCTTTCCGGAGCATCACTGAGAATAGACACACGTGATGCTATCTGGCACCTTCAGGCCCTGTGTTCTGGCTTCAGCCCTCCTGTGTACCCATCTTCTTGTCCCTGCAGGACCTGTGGGTGAGGAGGGGTTCAGCATAAACACAAACTCAGACTGCTTCATAAAATCATGTTTCTCTCCCTCTTCTTGCAGCCATCCTGTCTAATAAGTACTTTTTAAAGTACCTTGGGGAGGCAACATTAGATATCTTTCTTCCTATACTCAAAACATTAATTTGAAAAGCAACAACAACAAAAAAAACCCCAACTGTTGCCCAAAGACAAGAAGAGGTTTATAAGAAACATGGAAAGAAATTAGGGAACTCAGAACCAGTCAAAGCAGCTGCTGTGACACTGAGGTCACATTGTCTACTTCTCAGCCAAATGCCGCTGCCTCCAGGAAGCCCCCTCTGCTTTCCTTCCCCACAGCACTTTGTGCCAAGCTCAGCCCAGCCTCCCTCCCACCATTACAATGACCTATCTGCTTCACCAGACCCTGAGGTCCACAGAGAGGCCTTGCTTGGTGCTGTACCCTTGAGCCCTGGCATGGGGTGGCCACTTGGTACATGGTGGCTGGTGTTATTACTGTTCCTAGTTATTGTCACATTGATGGGAGTGTTCATCAGTGTCTGAGCAAATGAATGGTGTGGCACTTGCAGTTTCTACCTTGCCTCACCCCAGGCGGGAAAACCAGGGCTGCAGTGAGCAGGGCCTCATTAAGTGCTGGTTAATTATGCAAAGTAGAGTCTTTTGTCACACACAAATTGGGGGGTTAACCTGTTGTGTTAAAGAGGCTGACAGGGACAGGGCTACAAGAGCAGCCGTTGGCATGGGCAGCAGTGCTCGGAGCAGGCAGAGGGAAGGCCCTGCTCTCGGTACCACCAGCTCAAAGTAGCTTTGTGCCCACCCTCTACCTGAGGTCTCAGGCCTTCCCAAGGGTGCCTCTCAGCCCCCAGGGCCCAGCAGGGAGCCAACACTTCACTGCCTGAGACTGTGAACCATCAGACGCTTGGGCTTCACATGCCAACCTTCTGCCTCCACAGAGGAATATCTGTGAGTGATCACACAGGGGAAGTTCAAATTGCCAAATGGGCCATGTCGGCCTCGGCTTTCATAGTAATTGCTGGCAGGATCTTCTCCATCATTTATAGACATTTAAAGTTCAGCTCTAGGGAAAAAATAGGCCACAAATGTCTTATAATCCACCAGGGCAGTGTTGTGGGTGGTTAAGAGCACAGGCTTTGCAGCCAAGGCCACCTGGGTTCAAGCCTCAGCCCTGTCACCAGCTAGCTAGACGACTTTCAGCAAATGTTCTCACTGTTCCGTGCCTCAGTTTCCCCATATGGACATAACATTGGGAATAACAATAGTCCCTGCCCTGTAATTGGACAGATGAGTGCACACCTTCTAGGTCTTCCACTGAATTTAATCATCACAGATTTGCATATTACAGAGCTAACCCACTACATCCCTGCGCACCTACTGTGTGCCAAGCCCTGGGCCAAAACAGGGACACAGCTGTGGACAAGCCACTCAGAGTCCCTTCCCCTTGCCCCGCCCTCCCCCATGGTCTCTCCATACGATTCAATTTGCACTTATCAGGGACCTACTGCCAAGCCAGTCCCTGCAATGAAGGCCAGAGACATAAACAGAACCGGTGTGTGGGCCTTCCCAGTAGGAACTCAGCACTAACTGACCAACTGAGAGGGGAATACTTTTCTTAAATGGTGAGTTTATAAAACATGCTGTGGAGGCCCAAAGAAAGAATGAGGCTCTCAGGGAAGGCTTCTTGGAGGAGGTGGCATTTGAGCTGAGCCTTGAAGGAACTTACAAGTGAAAAGGGAACAGCATGTGAGAAGGGGAGATGTGGCAAAGTGAGGAGGGCGGCCCTAACTGGCAGGCTGAAGGAAGCCAGCGGATAATTTTAAACTGCAGTCACGTGGTTGGATTTGCACATTAGAAAGGCCCCTTTAGAAGCTGATGTGCAGAAGGATTAGACAGGGCAAGGCTAGAGGCAGGTAGAGCCATCAGGGATCAGTGCTGAGGCCAGCTGCCCACACCACCAGTCTCTGGTTTTCTATATTATTTCTGGCATTGGGGAATAAAGACAAGTAGACCATCCCAATCCCAGCAATCTCCAGAGGATGGCGTCTTAGGGGTGCCCAGGTGCAGAGGGTGCAGTGTTCTAGGGAGAGGCAGTTTACCTTGGTGGATGTGACGCCTGGCTGATGGCAGGCACAGGGCAGAGCACAGGGCCCTTTCTGAGGCCAGCTGGCTAACCCTGCCCCCTCATGTGTCTGTCCATCCCTCTGTCCCTGTGTCTGTCCTCCCGCCCCACAGGGTGGCATGTACATCTTCCAGCTCTTTGACTCCTACGCTGCCAGTGGGATGTGCCTTCTCTTTGTAGCCATCTTTGAGTGCGTCTGCATTGGCTGGGTGTATGGTGAGTAGAGGCTGAGCCCGCCCACACTGCAGTGGCCGGCATCGGTGCCCAGGACACGGGTGCCCAGGCTCTCTGTGGCCTGTTTCCATCTGTGTCACCCTCGTCCTCCTTCCCCTCAGGGAATCCTTGGCCCTTCCCATTTGTTGGGAGACCTCCCTGCTTTTACACCCCCATAGCACAGGGAGGGGTTTCAGGCTTAGGAACTATGACCTTGGGCCAGGCTTACTGCCTCTGAGACTGAATTTTTCCACCTGCAAAACGGGGTCATCACCATGTCTCCAAGTAGGAGATAATGTAGGCAAAGCAGCCAGCGTAGAGCCTGGCCGTCAGTCAACACCTGCCTTCTGGTCCTCCTATTCCCCAAACGAATCCAGCTGGATGAGGGCTTCTGGGTTCAATAATGATGTATGTCCCCACTGTGAACTTGGCTCAGAAATAGACGCCCCTGCAGACCACTCTGCTCATTAGCGGCCCAGCCAGGCTCTGGCCTTCAGAGCCCTGACCCCTACCCCCATGCAAGTCAGCCAGCCCCTTGCCCTGCATCTGAAGGGACCACCTTGTACCTCCCTCTCACAAATTCCTCACCGTTTCCTGGGCCTCACTGCCTAAGGTCACACCAGAATCCCTCCTCTTGCATTTATCCCAACACCTCACATAGGTCTAACATCTTGGTAGTTTTAAGCGGTAGTGAATAAGGTCCCTGCCACAATTTGCCTGTGTCTGGCTGGGGAAAGCAAACGCTCCTCGCCTTCCCTCTAAGTCTTGTACAAATTCTCTGGGTTGTGTGTGCCTGTCTGTTTTATTCTGGACAGGAAGTAACCGCTTTTATGATAACATCGAAGACATGATTGGCTACCGGCCATTGTCACTCATTAAATGGTGCTGGAAGGTTGTGACCCCCGGGATCTGTGCGGTAAGAGCCCACCCATCTTCCCACTTTTCTACTTCCGAGCCCCAGGCCTGGCTGAGCTGGAACTGAGGAGGTAACATCCTCTGTGCTCTCAGAAAGGCCGAGGCACCCAACACCTTCCCGAGTTGGAGTTATAAGGACATTCTCTGGGCTTGGCGAGGGAGGGGCCCCCTGGGATTTCAGCTCTGCCACCAGCTTGCCATGTGACCATAAATAAGTCACCTCCCTTCTCGGAGCCTCTAATTCTATACCTGCTAACTGGGGGACAGGGACCCGCCTCTGTGGGGGCCAAGGATCACATGAGAGACAACGTTTGGCTTTGTTGTTAACTGCGAGAGTAGTAGAACTAAGGGTAACGTTGGGGCTCACACTCTGCCCTCAGACCAGACCACAGAGAGAGAGGCCTTTGTGAGTGGATGTTTAATAAAAAAACAACAACCCACCACTCTTCAACCAATTCTTGGCAGGGGAAGTATCTCAAAGCATCTTCACAAACCACCATAGCTCTGAAAGGCAGCTTTGAAACTGGCCCTGAGAAGTAACTAGGGAAAAATAAAAATTCCTGACTGGGCAGAGGCTGGGAACAAGGCTCCTGAGGGGTGGGGAGGTCCCGGGATCTGTGATGGTCCATTCCCTGTGTGTCTGATGCCAGTGGGATGCGCCGCAAACTCACTGTGGGCCGGGGCCGAGCCTTTCCTGAGGCTGTGGCATGGGGTGGACCCTCCCCGCTGGCCTCCTGCACACAAGCCCCAGAGACCTCTCCTGTCTCTCGGCAGGGCATCTTCATTTTCTTCCTGGTTAAGTACAAGCCTCTCAAGTACAACAACATCTACACTTACCCCACCTGGGGCTACGGCATCGGCTGGCTCATGGCCCTGTCCTCCATGCTCTGCATCCCGCTCTGGATCTCCATCAAGATGTGGAAGACAGAGGGGACGCTGCCTGAGGTGAGACGGCAGGAAGGAAAGGTCGGCAAGGGTGGCCCCAAAGGGCCTGAGGTGCAGGGCAGGGCGTGGCTGTCGTTCAGGTAGGCTCATGATCAGGGTTGAGTCCATGGGTACCTCTCTGGGTCTCAGCCTCTTCATCTGGGCAGTGGGTGTGATGGGAACAGACCCCCACGTGTCTCTCAGGGAAGCTGTGGCCAGCTCTTCCCTGGCAGGTGTTTATCGTGACCACTATGTGGAGGCGTCTCTATGATGCCCCAGGGTTGAGCCTGTTTTTCTGAGCTCAGCCTCAGTTTCCTCATCTGTAAAATGGGGGCAACAGCAGCCCCTAACTTTACAGAGGTTTTTTGTGAGGACGCACTCAGTGAGTTCATATTGAGACAGCACTTAGACCAGGACCTGGAACAGAGAGTGACCAAGTGTTAGCTCTTACTGTTCTGTTAATGCATTGAGGACCCCATTCCCAGGGCAAAGGGAGAGGGATCTGACATTTGGGGACTGACCCCTATCCCATGTCATCATTACCCTGCTAGGCTCTCTATATGCTGTTATTTCCTTTAGTCCTCAGAACAAACCAGGATGCTGGCATCATTTTCTGCATTTAATAGGTAGAGAAACTGAAGCTCAGAGAAATTGTCACTCAACCAAAAGTGAGCATCACACAGCCCAAAATTAGCAAACCAAATATTTTTATTGAGATGTAATTGGCATACATTATATTAGTTTTAGGTGGACAACATAATGGTTTGATATTTGTATATTTTGTGAAATGATCCCTGTAATAAGTTAACATCTGTCATCACACATAGTTACAGAATTTTTTTCTTGTGATAAGAACTTTTAAGATCTGTCTTATCAACTTTCAAATGTGCAATACAGTATTTTTTAACTATAGTCACCATGATGTACATTACATCCCCATGACTTATTTTATAACTGAAAGTCTGTATCTTTTGATTCCCTTCACCCATTTTGCCCACCCCCCCAATCTATCTTCTACATCTATAAGCTCAGTTGTTTTGTTTTTTTTAGAGTCCACATATAAGTGAAATCCTACGGTATTTGTCTTCCTCTGTCTGACTTATCTCACTTAGCGTAATGCCCTCAAGGTCCATCCGTGTCACAAATGGCAAGATTTCCTGTTTTATGGCTGTATAATATTCGTGTGTGTGTATCACATTTTTTTTTTATCCATTCATCCACTTATGGACACGTCCCATTACTTAGGTTACTTCCATATCTTTGGTGTTGTAAATAATGCTATGGTGAACATGGGGGCGCAGATATCTTTTCAACTTAGTGTTTTTCTTTTATTCAGATAAATACCCAGAAGTGGAATTGCTCGATCATAGGGTAGTTCTAGTTTTAAATTATTTTTTAGGAAATTCCATACTATTTTCCATAGTAGCAATCAAATTTTTAAAAACGGTTTTATTGAAGTATGTTTTATACATGATAAAATTCACCCATTTGAGGTATACAGTTCAATGATTTTTTTAGTAACTTTCAGCATAGTGCAATTATCACCATAAATCAGTTGTAGAACATTTTCATCACCCTAATAAGATCCCTCGTACCCATCCACAGTTAACCCTGTTCCCGCCCCCAGATAACCATGAATCTCCTTTCTGTCTCCGTGGATTTGCCTGTTCTGGACAATTCCTCTCGGTAGAATGATACAGTATGTGGTTTCTTGATGGCAGACTGACTTATAACCCAAGCTGTCTTAGTTCAGAGCACACTCACTCTCTATTTACTCTCCTTTCCCACCTGCTGGCAGATCAGATGGTCTGAGTCAGTTTCTCGCTCATTTAGCAAACTGTTTGCAGTGTGCCAGACATTATCCTAAGCCGTTTACAAACACTGAGCCGTTTAATCCTCATAGCAGTCCTGAGAGATGGAGGCTCTTATTGTCCCCATTTCACAGATGAGGAAGCTGAAGCACAGAGAAGTGAAGCAACTTGCCCAAGGGCGCACAGCCTCTGAGTGGTGGGGCGGAGACCGTGGGGCCTGTGCTCTCATCCCCTGAGCTTCACAGCCTCATTCCTCTGCTGGACTGGCCGCACAACATTGCAGGGCCCTCTCTCTGCCCCAGCGCCACACCCCAGGGATCTCAGGGGTTGACCTTGGTCTCCCAGGACAAGGTCAGAGGGAGATGGGAGTGGGGGGGAGGGTGCGCAGACACCCGAATGCAATTGTCCGCTCAGAGCGGTTTCACTTAGCCTGCCTGCCCACCGAGTGGCTGGGCTCCAAAAAAAGCCATGCATCCAGCCAGAAGGAGTAAGCCTGCTTGTGCCCCCAGAGCAAGTCAGGCTCCTTTGGCTCCTGCAGAGAATGTAGGTCAAAGGCAGTTGGTTGATTCTAATTTGGAACTAAACATACCCAGAGGAGAGTGGTGCTGCAACCCTAACCCCATGGCCACTGCAGGTCCCTGCCCAAATTTCCAGTGGCCTTTTGGTGTTCAGAAGTGCCCGTTGTCTCCTGACAAGTGCTCCAGAGATTCTCACAGGCCTGGCATGGAGGGGAGGGAGGGAGAGAAGGAGGAATGAGAGGCTACTTCGCTGAGCTCCCTCCATCTCCCTAAGCTCACACACCCGCCTGCATAGAGCGAGCAAAGCTTATTAAAGACAGTGAACTCTTTGGAGGTAGTCAGACCTGGTTTCCAGGCCTTCCTTACTGGGAGAACTTCCTAGCCCACCTTCCATTTCCAGAAGGTTCTACCAACGGACAGGAAGGATCTGGAAGGGAAAATGGGGTTAATGGTACTTGCCTCAGAGAATTGCTGTGAGGGTAGATATTCTGCCCTGATCTGTAGCTAGGTAAATTAACCTGAGCCTCATGATAATCCTAGAAGGCAGGTACCATTGTTATGCCCCTTTGGCATGTGTGGAAACTGAGGCACAGAGATTACGTTTTCTTGCCCCAGTTAAGTGGTCGGTCTGGGTTTAAACCCAGGCACCTGGCTGCTCAGCCCATGCTCTTAACCCCTGTACCGTGTCAAGAGCCCAGTGCCATGCCTGGCACACAGGAGGTGTTCAGCACAGGCGAGTCTGCCTGCTAATCTCATCTGAGCAAAGCAGGTTCAGCCTCTTAGGCATCGCAGGATCTGAAAAAGAAGACAGAACCCTGAGCATGAAAAATCAGCCTCCCAAAAGTCTCCCCAGCCTTCCTGGGGAGAGGGTTTATGCCTAGAATGGACCTCCCAAATCCTGACCTGGTTGGTGTCTTCTCCCCAGGGAACCTGGGGGGTACACAGGAAGCTGAGGTGTGGGACCCCAAGGCAGGGCTGTGCTGCAGGAGTGAGTGTCAGAAGACTGCCTGTGGCCTACGCTTCCTTATCAGTACAGTGTGGTGATAGCCATTCCATTCATGCCCGTCCCAGTGCCAGCCACTTTGCAAGATGGTGTGAAGCTGTGGCTGTGAGTGTTGGCATTAGTGACAGTGTTTGCATCTTTGAGTTGTGGCCAGAGGAGCACATGGCACACACCACATGTTCCCCTGGGTAGTGGCAGCATGCTGACATCTCTTTTGTGGGAAATCTTTCAATGTATCCAGCAATCATTATATAAACAGCCCTACAGGCGCCTTAGCTCACCCTCACTACAGCCCTTCTGGCAGGCACTGTTATCCCATTTCCCAGATGAGGAGAATACAGCTCACAGAGTTTAGGAGACTTACCTAACACAGCTAGTGAGTGGCCACGCAGTGATTCAGACCCCAGCTGCGCTCTCTACCAGAGGGAAGGGATAGGGCAGCAGGCCCTGATTACAGCTCTCTCATCCTGGTCACCTGCAGGAGACCAGGAATAGGCGGGCATTCCCACATCTCCTGACTCCTTACCAAATGCTGGGAGTGGGTATTTCCGTTGTCCCCGTTTTATAGTATTTTCCGGGTCATAGGCAGAAGCTGAGACCCAGAGCTCAATTCATCGTCTAGGACAGAGCTCTAAGTGGCAGAGCTGGGGCCTAGACCTTGGTCTGATGACTCCATAGTCCCACTATGTCCACGGTGAGGCTGGGAGAGGCCCAGGCAGGCCCCAGGACCCTGACAGCCACTCTCAGACAGCCCTTCTCCTCCTCTCCAACCACCTAGAAACTCCGGAAGTTGACGACCCCCAGTGCTGATCTGAAAATGCGGGGCAAGCTTGGGGCAGGCCCACGGACGGTGATGGTTAATGACTGTGATGCCAAACTCAAGGGCGATGGGACCATAGCAGCCATCACAGAGAAGGAGACACACTTCTGAGCGTCCACCTGCCACCTCGGATGCCTCTGCTTCCTTCTCCCCCGTGTGTATAAACGAATATCTGAAACAACGTACTTCACCTAATGCTAGAGTCTTGCTCATTTTGCACAGGACTTATTAACAAGTTAATTTTAAGGTGGCCGTGTACACTCTGGTTTAAAGTACCATTCCCCAATGATCATGTAAGTAACATTATAAAGAGATACCACTGTGCAGGAGCTATCAGAATCTTGTGCTAGGACAGTTTTAACCAACATTTTCTAGGGGTTAGGGTGAAGTGTATCCTATGGTCAAACTTTTCTACTCGGGCTGTGGGCAGGTGGGGTGGGAGCAGTGCCTGTCCTCCCCTGTGAATCTTTTAATCCATGTCCCATGTTTGTCCCTGATCACTGCATCCACCCCTCCCCCACACCACCCTGGAGGAGGCAGGGGGGCTTTTCCTGCAAACTCTCCCTTTCCCATCCCCAACCTCTTAGCCGTGGGTTTGCAGACAGCAAGGCTACCAGAGAAGAAAAAGTCCCACCAGACACAGGACTCTCGGGTCACAAGGGCCCATCTGCCCTGATCCCACTAACTGACCTTGGGTACTCCCTGCCGCTCCCTGGGCCTCAGTTTCCCCATCTCTCAAATGGGAAGGGCTGGATCAGGCGTCTTCAGGGTCCTTCCCACATCTCTTGGGGATGCTCATTCACGCCTCACTGACTCGCAGACCTGCCGTTCATCTGGGATCCTTCTGAAGACTCACAGGCAGTCATGCCTGCACCCAGCCTCTACCTGCTTATTTTAAATCACGTTTATCATGGAAATGATGTGATGGCGATGTGCGTTTTCCCCAAAACTCTAGTTTGGTTTCTTTCATGAGCAGTCCATTCCCTGGAGACCAGCCAGGTCCTGGACCCCATGACAGGCCGCTCCTGCTCCGTCTGCTCTCACCCTCAACTCTGCCTCTCCGTCCTGGGGGCTGGCTGGGGTTGCCTGGGCTCTGGTTTTCAGGTTCAGGAAACAGCCTTTATCCTGCTGGTGGTTATTTATCCTGCCACTGCTCCAGCTGGGATCCACATTGCAGGACCTTCCACCAGCCTCCCAGGGGAGGAGCTGCAGGCGGCCGGAGCCTGGTTTCCTTCTCCGGCCCCTTCTTCATTCCCCTGCCACATCCCCTGCTGGCAGTCCCAGGCCTTCTTCATACCTCTCAGTTCCCTCCCCATCCTTCCTGTCACCAGAAGAATCTTTGAACCTTTGTGGAAGCTTCTTCTCTACGCTTTTTTGTGAGCCATCCACCTACAACTCTTGCCAGTGGCCTGAAAGAGCCTCGGGGCTTCCCAGAGGGGAGACCAGGGCTCCTCGTCCCTTCTCTCTGCAGGCCCGGGGCCCGGGGGGAGATTGGTGCTCCAGACCCCTCTGGCTGATCAACTTCTTTAATTGGGTTTGACATGGGTTCTGAGTTATTTGGGGACAGCGAAGGTGAATTCTTTATCCTTTTCCTTTATGTTCCCAATTTTATTTGGTGGAAATGCAAGCTTTCTCTAAACTGAGGCTGTAGTTTCCTGTAATGAACCTGTGTGTTTGAATCACCCAAAAGTTCCCAAACTCCCAACGTCTCTGCTCTGGGCAGCCCTCGTGTGGAACTCGAGTTTGCTGGGAGGGACGTCCAGCATCCCCCAGGCAGGTCAGGATGCCTGGTTCTAGTCTGCCTTTTGCACATGTAACCCAGGCCTGCCTGCGCTCTCCCTGAGCTGTTTGATCTGGTGGACCCGGGAAATGGACCCAGGAAGATTGGGGTTCGACTGAGCCCCACCTCGTGTCCATCCTCATCTGCTCTTCTCCCAACAGGTCCTGGGGAGGG